GGCCCAGTGGTTGCGAGAGCCTCCACGATCCTCCCTTGTCCAGCAGTCCCCTCCGGCTTTTTGTCAGGTCTCCACCTCCCCACATACTCGACGAACTTGGTGAGCAACGCTGCCATTCAGGATGTCTGGGTTGATACCTTTATTCCTGGAGGGCAGCGTGTGGCAATCTGTACGTGCTACCGGACTGGCCGTCACCTGGCTACATTCACTCGACAGCCTGGGTCTAGTCTGTACACACTGACCACTGCGTCTGCACAGGTGGCTGAGTTAGGTCAGGTAGCTACGTCGAGTCGAGCGTCTGCGTCAGGGCAGTTAGCTGCGTCTTGCTCGTGCCGAGTACTCACGCACGAGACTCAGCGCGGGCACCACCGTCTTCGTCACCCCTCTCTGCAGGGTCTGCGCGGCATGCACTCCCGGCTCCTGGTCACTGGCCTCCCTGAGACCCTGCCCCCCCTCCCGCGCTCACTTGCGCCGCCGTGCCTTCCTTGCGTCGAGGGGCGGCAGCGCGCCGCTCCTCACTCCTCCGAGTTTCCTCCGACCACTGCTCCTCTGCAGACTCTCCACCTGGACGTGTGGGGCCCGGCCCCCGTCGGTGGGACGGACCAGGAGCGCTACTTCCTGCTGGTTGTTGACGACTACACACGCTACACCACAGTCTTCCTCTTGCGTCACAAGGCGGACGTCAGCGGTGTTTTGATCCCGTGGATCAGTGCTACTCGTCTCCAACTACACGAGCGCTTTCAGCAGGACTTCCCAGTCCTGCGTCTGCACTCTGACAGGGGTGGTGAGTTCTCTTTTGACATCCTTGAGACGTTCTGCCAGGATGAAGGCATCGCCCACTCGTTCATGCTTTGGCCTCTCCGCAGCAAAATGGGATCGCTGAGCATCGCATTGGCCTGATCATGGAGGTTGCTCGTACCTCCATGATCCATGCGGCTGCTCCCCATTTCTAGTGGCCGTTTGCAGTCCGATACGCCGCGCATCAGCTCAGCCTCTGGCCCCGTGTCTCTGCTCCAGAGACCTTGCCCACACTTCGTTGGACGGGACAGCCTGGTGATGTATCGTCGTTTTGGGTCTGGGACGCGCTCTCCCTTGTTCGCGATACTAAAGCGAGCAGGCTCTCTCCTCGCACTCTCCGCTGTGTCTTCCTGGGCTTCCCCACCGACGCTCCACCCTGGCAGTTCTACCACCCTGCCTCGCGTCATGTTCTGTCCTCTCAGGACGTCACCTTCGACGAGTCGGTCTGTCACTACCGACTTCACCCGCACGCGTCCTACCCGGTCCCCCTTGCACCCCTCTTCCTGGTACCAGTCCCCCCCCCCCCCCCGGTAGACCCCCTCCCCCCACAAGGTCCTGCTCCCTTAGGTGAGTCTGGGGCTGGGGGTGGTGAGTCTGGGGGTGCCCGCTCTCCTCGTCTGGCTACCCCCTCCAGGTTACCACCTGTGCCGTCTTCGCCGCCTCTGCAGCCTACTGCTGTGGACACTGGAGCAAAGACTCAGGGTGCTGGGACTGCGGGTGCTGGGACTGAGGGTACTGAGCCTGAGGGTGCTGAGCCTGAGGGTCCTGGGACTGAGGGTACTGAGACTTTGGGTGCTGACTCTGGGGGTGCTAAGACTTCGGGTGCTGACTCTGGGGGTGCTGCGAGTCCTTCTGGAGGTTTTGGAGCTGGAGGTACTGGAGCTACCAGGCCTGGAGGTCCTACTGGAGGTACTAGAGGTACTACTGGTGCTGGAGGTACTACTGGAGGTACTAGAGGTGCTGCTAGTGCAGGAGGTACTGGAGCTGCTGGTGCTGGGGGTACTGGAGCTGCTGCCGGTGCTGGAGGTACTGGAGCTAGTGGCACTGGAGGTGCTGGTGCTACTGGTGCTGGAGCTGCGGGAGCTGCTGACCCTGGAGGTGCTGGTACTGCTGGTGCTGGAGGCGTTGGAGCTGGAGGTACTGGAGGTGTTGGAGCTACTGGTCCTGGAGGTGCTCGTACTGGAGGTGCTGGAGCTGCCGGAGCAGGTGGTACTGCTGGTGCTCGAGGTGCAGGAGGTGCTACTGGAGCTACTGGCACAGGAGGTACTGGAGGTACTACTGGTGCTGGAGGCGCTGGAGCTGGAGGCACTGGAGGTGCTGGAGGTACTACTGGTGCTCGAGGTGCTGGCGCTGTCGGAGCTCGTGGTGCTGGAGGTGCTGGTGCTACTACTGCTGGAGGTGTTGCTGGGGGTACTGGAGGAGCTGCTCGTGCTAGAGGTACCTGAGCTACTGGTGCTCTTCGCCACCTTCTCAGTCTTCCGCCAGGTGCTACTGGCTTCCCTATGGCAGGTACTACTCCTCCGTTGCTGTGTCCGCCAGCAGACGAGTCACAGCCACCGCTGCTACCACACTCCCCTCTGCCTGCTCCTGCTCCTTACACTGCGGTGTCAGAGTCCCTGACTGAGCGTCAAGAGCCTGAGACTCGTGCTTCCACCCTTGAGTGTCGAGAGCCTGAGTCTAGCTTTGACCTTGAGCCTGAGTCTAGAGCTGCTGTCCATGCTCGTGTTCCTCGTGTTCGTCGTCCGCGTGCTCCGGCTGTCCCCGGCACTCACGATATGACACTACCTCCTGCGTCAGCGTGTTGTACTACCGCTACCTCCTGCGTCCTCTCTGCCTGACATTGCTGACCCTCCATCTGACCTTGCTCGTGCGTCCAGTCCGACTATTACTCGCCTTCTTGCTACGGTTGTGACGGACCCTTCGTTCTCGTCTCCTACTGCGTCTGCCCTAGTAGCTGAGCTTGTTGACTTTGCTAGTGTGTACCGCCTAGACTACCTTGCGAGTCTTGTCTCTAACCCTATCCCTGCCTGTCCTCCGTCCGTCGGGGGTGAGACTGCTCTTGGCTGTACTGCCCTTGGCTGTGACGTTCGTGAGGACAGACAGGAAGAGCTGGAGTGCCTTGCTGCCGCTTCACACCATCACACGACCATGCTGCTTGCCCTTGAGGGAGACCCGAATGCACTTGACATCCCCACCCCGCGCTCCTACAGGGAGGCGATTTCGGGTGAGTACTCCTCTTAGTGGCAGATAGCCATGGACGCAGAGATGGCTTCCTGGAAGTCCACAGGCACCTATGCTGACGAGGTTCCCCCACCTGGGACGAACATCGTCAGTGTCATGTGGATTTTCAGGGTGAAGCGGCCGCCGGGTTCTCCGCTTGCCTTCAAGGCACGTTAAGTTGCTCGAGGTTTCAGTCAGCGTGAGGGGGTCAACTTCTTTCAGACCTTCTCCCCCACCTCGGAAATGACCACTCTTCGGGTGTTGCTACACGTTGCAGCTCGGCGTGACTACGAGCTGCACTCCCTCGACTTCTCGACAGCTTTCTTGCAGGGTAGCCTTCACGAGGCCATCTGGTTGCGCCGTCCACAGGGCTTCAGTGGGTCGATTCCTGCGGGTACCCACTGGAGCCTACGGCGACCAGTTTACGGCCTCCGTCAGGCGCCCCGTGAGTGGCACGACACACTGAGGACGACACTTGCGACTCTTGGGTTTGCTCCTTCGACTGCTGACCCGTCGCTGTTTCTATACATCGACACTACTCTGCCGCCGTTCTACATCTTCGTGTACGTCGACGACTTGGTTTTTGCTACTGCTGACACTGAGGCACAGGCCCTAGTGAAGGCAGAGCTGTAGGAGAGACACACCTGCACTGACCCGGGTGAGCTGCGGAGCTATCTTGGCTTGCAGATCACCCGGGACGGACCACGACGCACCATCACCCTCACTCAGTCACACATGGTGCACCAGGTCCTTCAGCGCTTTCGCTTCACGTACTCCTCGCCACAGCCCACTCTTCTGGCTACCGGCCACTCGCTCTTGAGAAAATGAACGAGAATGAAATGACTAAGGGAAAGCTGGGTACAAGTACAAACCCTAGAAAGCTGTACCCCATATGTGCTACCCCACTATAGCCTATAGTAGCTATGTCATATAAATCTGACACACTCCCATAGGCAAAGTGGGGGAGAACAAGGGGTCACAAGACCAGTCAAGGAAAGCAAAGCAAGCTCAGGGTGGATCACAAAGTCACAACACATTCAGAGCACAAGTTCAAGGCCATAAGGCTAGTTCACATGTAGGATTACATATATATATAAGGCTAGACAAGCAAGAGTAGGTGTATATATATATGTAACAATACAAACAAGGTCAAGGGGTGAGCAAGTGAGGCAAGGTAGGCACAAGACCCTGCTGAGTACAGAAGCGCTGATGATCACAAGGCGCAAGTCCCTTGGTGAAGATATCAGCAGTGTTGACCTTAGAGGCCACGTACACAAGCCGCAGCTGACCACGCTGCTGTAGCTCACGAGCAAAGAAGTAGCGGAGAGCAATGTGCTTCGTTCTGTGCTCCAGTCTCTGCTCTTGACCCAAGGTCAGCATGGCCTTGTTGTTTACGTACAGCACTGGAGGAGAACGAGGCGGCTCTCCGAGGTCAGTCAGCAGGTAGGTAAGCCAGCGAAGCTCCTGAGCAGCCATGGCTCGTGCGTAGATCTCAGCCTCACAACTGGAGCCGAGAACAGAAGACGAGTGAGTAGCCTGCCACAAAATAGAGCCGGAACGAAGGCTGAAGGTGTAACCCTGTGACGACCGCTGCGTAGCCTGGTCGTCAGCCCAAGAAGCGTCTGCGTGCCCAGTGAGGACCACTGGACTGCGCCCTCCAAGCACAAGCCCCATGCCCGACGTACTGCACAAGTAGCGCAACACCCTATTCGCTGCAGCCATGTGCTCTGGTCAGTGTCTCCCAAGAGCAACATAGCGTGCGAGAATGCTAAGAGGGTATGCAAGGTCAGGTCGTGTGCAGGTCATCAGGTACATGAGGCAGCCAACAAGCTCTGGGTACGGGGCACTCGACTCTACGGACTCATCCGAAGGCAGAGCTGAGAGCGAGTGGCGAGTAGGCAGAAGAGTGGCCTGAGGCGAGGAGTACGTAAAGCCAAAGCGCTGAAGGACCTGCTGCCCCCCATCCCCTTCCCTGCGTCCCCATGTCCCCTTCCCTGCTTCCCCCCCTCCTCTTCTCTGCTTCCCCCCATCCCCTTCCTTGCTTTCTCCCATCCCCTTCCCTATTTCCCCCCATCCCCTTCCCGACTTCCCCCCATCCCTTTCCCTGCTTCCTCCCATACCCTTCTCTGCTTCCCCCCATCCCCTTCTCTGCGTGCCCACCATCCCCTTCCCTGCATCCCCATGCCCAATTCTCTGCTTCCCCCCATCCCCTTCCTTGCTTTCCCCCACCCCCTTCCCTGCTCCCCCCCATCCCCTTCCCTGCTTTCCCCCATCCCCTTCTCTACTTCCCCCCATCCCCTTCCCTGCTTCCCCATGTCCCCTTCCCTGCTTCCCCCCATTCCCTTCCCTGCTTCTCCCCGTCCCCTTTCCTGCTCCCCCCCCTCCTCTTCCTTGCTTCCCCCCATCCCCTTCTCTGCTTCCCAACATCCCCTTCCCTGCTTCCCCATGTAACCTTCCCTGCTTCCCCCCCTCCTCTTCCCTGCTTCTCCTCATCCCCTTCTCTGCTTCCCCCCATCCCCTTCTTTGCTTCCCCTCATCCCCTTCCCTGCTCCCTTCCATCCCCTTCTCTGCTTCCCAACATCCCCTTCCCTGCTTCCCCATGTCCCCTTCCCTGCTTCCCCATGTCCCCTTCCCTGCTTCCCCCCCTCCTCTTTCCTGCTCCCCCCCATCCCCTTCTCTGCTTCCCAACATCCCCTTCCCTGCTTCCCCATGTCCCCTTCCTTGCTTCCCCCCTCCTCTTCCCTGCTTCCCCTCATCCCCTTCTCTGCTTCCCCTCATCCCCTTCCCTTCTCCCTTCCATCCCCTTCTCTGCTTCCCAACATCCCCTTCCCTGCTTCCCCATGTCCCCTTCCCTGCTTCCCCCCCTCCTCTTCCCTGCTTCTCCTCATCCCCTTCTCTGCTTCCCCCCATCCCCTTCCCTGCTCTCCCCCATCCCCTTCCCTGCTTCCCCCCATTCCCGAGCCCTGCTTCCCCCCATCCCCTTCCCTGCTTTCCCCCCTCCCCTTCCCTGCTTTCCCCCTTCCCCTTACCTGCATCCCCCCATTCCCATTCCCTCCTTCCCCATGTCCCCTTCCCTGCTCCCCCCAATCCCCTTCCCTGCTTCCCCCCATCCCATTCCCTGCTTTCCCCCATCCCCTTCTCTTCTTCCCCTCATCCCATTCCCTGCTTTACCCCATACCCTCCGCACTATCTCCAGGCGTTGTCCTCATCCTTCAAAACAACCTGCTTGCCACCCATCCCACTGCTGTGCACTGTGCTTCCTGCCATGCTCATACCCTTGCTCTCCACTCACTCCCTTGTTCTCCCTCGCCCCACTCCCCACCCCTCCAGCTGCACAAAAGCAGATCTACGACTGGATCCGCCACGCCGCGGTGCAGGAGCAGTCTCAGCCTCCTCTCGAGACTGCCTTCAGCAACACCCCTTGCCCCATACCCGCTAGTAAAACCATTAATCCCGTTGTAAGCCGCCAGGCTTAGGGGCAGTGAAGCTGTTGGGAGCTACTAAAACTCTACTTCGCAATTACATTGGCTGCATGGCTGTCTCCGGATGACGGCGAGTATACTACCATTCCGTCCTTCCTTCGCTGACGGGAACGTATGTTTGCCTGAGAGCAACCCCTCTCATTTTCACCAATGGGCCACGACTCTCACATCTACTACGAACGTGCAGCGTAAACTTTGTCATGAGCGCTTGAATGCTGACTTCTCCTGCGACGCGGTACAATGGTCCGGCGACGTGCTTTGTTGTTGTATCACCCTGCCGAAGTGCGTGCATGGTTGGTAGTCGAGGGACCTACCTGTGCTCCCTTGTTACATCAGGCTCGTATTTTCACGTGGCTGACGCGTTCGCGTCAAGAGTGCGGGGGTCGCCCTCTCCCTACCTACCTGCTGCCGTCGCGCTCAACTAGCATTCTTTACCAAGCGTAACACGTCCCTCTTACGTGTGTTTGTTCTCCCCCCATTTGTTTGTGTTGGTGCTTCTTCAATCTTCTTGCTGGGTTGTATTTCCAGGGGACTGATTGGTTGCGATGCCACCTTTTCCGAGTCACGTGCATTTTGCTCACATCTACGCACGTGGCTTCGCTTTCTTGTCCCCTCCATGCACCAACCGAGTGGTGCAGTGTCGCACAGGTGGGTGACGAGTGCAGAAGCTCGTCGCTGCCTGGTTTCGCTTTCGCACCTGTTCAGTTCCCGAAATACATTATTTTAGCTTTTCGCGACCACGTTTAAAGCCCTCGCGTCACTGTAGCAAAAACCATGTTAGCCTCGAGCTTTAACTTCGGAAGAATGGGCCCGACCGTTCGGTTGGCGTTAAAGCTCAAGGCCCAAATTGCAAGCCGCGGCCATCAAGACTAGTAATCTTGATGGCCTCGGAAGTGTGTTACCCGATTCATTGACACGGAAGTTCGAGCGACCCCAGCAGTTGTCCACAATCGTCGCGATTGGTTGGGTGGATCCGTGCGAAACTCTGCAGCCCTGGTCCTAACACCAGGCAGACTCCGAATACTCACCTTGACGCCCACAGCCCCGCAATTTGGGACTTGTGAAGTTCAATCACCGAGGAAAGCCTGGGAGAAGGGGCAACACACCTAAACCACTCACTCAAAGCAAGATTACTAATCAGGCCTTTGACCACTCACTCCTATACGCCCTCCGAAATGCGGAATGGAGAGACGAGCGATACATATAGGGCTACGACCAGGTTTACTAAAATCGCGAAGATACCCTCGACGGTGAGGAAGGTCTCAATGGTGACGTACATGTGACGCATCAATGTCTTCTCGGCGCCCAGCAACAGGCATAACTAGACGACATCGTAGGTGTGTACTGCTGCGGCAGGCATGACGCGATACCCAGAAAGCCTAGGGCGTGTGGGCGGGGAAAGTGCTTTGCCATTGTATACCACCACCAGACCGTTCTCATCGTCCCCCCGCTCTCATGCCGTTTGCATTCGGCTCGTCGCACACCGACGCTCGTCGCTCAACCAACCCCCGCGCTCACCTGCGATCTTAGGGAACCCGCGCTCACGGCTCGTCCGCGCTCGAAATCTCATACGCGCTCCTCGCTCATCCGCGCGCAAAATGTCATACGCGCCCGTCGCTCATCCGCGCCCGAAATCTCATCCGCGCACCTCGCGCATCCGCGCTCGTCTCTCATCCGCTGTCGTATTAGGTGCGGGCTCGTCTCTCATTGCATGCGTGCGCCCTGTGAATTCACGAGCCCGCACCTAGACTCCATGTGCGCTATGCCGCCTGCATGTGCGCTATGCGACTTCATGCGCGCCATGCGACTGCATGGCCGCAATGCGACTGCATACGCGCCATGCGACTGCATGCGCGCCATGCGACTGCATGTGCGCCATGCGACTGCATGTGCGCCATGCGACTGCATGGCCGCAATGCGACTGCATGTGCGCCATGCGACTGCATCTGCGCCATGCGACTGCATGTGCGCCATGCGACTGCGGAAGACTGCAGTCCGCGCGCTCTACAACTGCATGCGCCTCCAACCCTCTTGCCCTTCGCGCGTCCGCGTTGCTCTCTCCCTCCGTCTCTTCCTCCGCTCTCCCCTCTGCCCCTCCTTCTCCTCCCTGTGGATGAACGACAGGCTCCAACGTCACAGCGCCCACGCGCCGCTCCACCCGCCGGGTCAGCGCCCCCCCCCGCTCAGCGCCCCCCCCGCTCACCAGGCAGCGCCGCGCGCTCTGCTGGCCGTGTGGACAGCACCGGCGAGCATGCTGCACGCAGAGCAGGTGAGCGTGCAGTTCCCCCCTTGCCCATGCCTATCCCCCTTGCCCATGCCTATCCCCCTTGCCCATGCCTATCCCCCTTGCCCATGCCTTTCCCCCTTGCCCATGCCTTTCCCCCTTGCCCATGCCTTTCCGCCTTGCCCATGCCTTTCCCCCTTGCCCATGCCTTTCCCCCTTGCCCATGCCTTTCCGCCTTGCCCATGCCTTTCCCCCTTGCCCATGCCTTTCCGCCTTGCCCACGCCTTTCCCCAATGCCCGTCCCTTTCCCCCTTGCCCATGCCTTTCCCCCTTGCCCATGCCTTTCCGCCTTGCCCATGCCTTTCCCCCTTGCCCATGCCTTTCCGCCTTGCCCATGCATTTCCCCCTTGCCCATGCCTATCCGCCTTGCCCATGCCTATCCGCCTTGCCCATGCCTATCCCCCTTGCCCATGCCTTTCCCCCTAGCCCATGCCTTTCCCCCTTGCCCATGCCTTTCCCCATTGCCGGTCCCTTTCCCCCTTTGCCCATGCCTATCCGCCTTGCCCATTCCTTTCCGCCCTGCCCATGTCGTTCCCCCTTGTCCATGCCTTTCCCCCTTGCCCGTCCCTTTCCCCCTTGCCCATGCCTTTCCCCCTTGCCCATGCCTTTCCCCCTTGCCCATGCCTTTCCGCCTTGCCCGTCCGTTTCCCACTTTGCCTATGCCTATCCGCCTTGCCCATGCCTATCCGCCTTGCCCATGCCTATCCCCCTTGCCCATGCCTTTCCCCCTAGCCCATGCCTTTTCCCCTTGCCCATGCCTTTCCCCCCTTGCCCATGCCTTTCCCCATTGCCCGTCCCTTTCCCCCTTTGCCCATGCCTATCCGCCTTGCCCATTCCTTTCCCCCTTGCCCATGCCTTTCCCCCTTGCCCACGCCTTTCCCCAATGCCCGTCCCTTTCCCCCTTGCCCATGCATTTCCCCCTTGCCCATGCCTTTCCGCCTTGCCCATGCCTTTCTGCCTTGCCCATGCCTTTCCCCCTTGCCCATGCCTTTCCCCCTTGCCCATGCCTATCCGCCTTGCCCATGCCTATCCGCCTTGCCCATGCCTATCCCCCTTGCCCATGCCTATCCCCCTTGCCCATGCCTATCCCCCTTGCCCATGCCTTTCCCCCTAGCCCATGCCTTTCCCCCTTGCCCATGCCTTTCCCCCTTGCCCATGCCTTTCCCCCTTGCCCATGCCTTTCCCCCTTGCCCATGCCTATCCCCCTTGCCCATGCCTTTCCCCCTAGCCCATGCCTTTCCCCCTAGCCCATGCTTTTCCCCCTAGCCCATGCCTTTCCCCCCTTGCCCATGCCTTTCCCCATTGCCCGTCCCTTTCCCCCTTTGCCCATGCCTATCCGCCTTGCCCATGTCTTTCCCCCCTTGCCCATGCCTATCCCCCTTGCCCATGCCTATCCCCCTTGCCCATGCCTATCCCCCTTGCCCATGCCTTTCCCCCTTGCCCATGCCTTTCCCCCTTGCCCATGCCTATCCCCCTTGCCCATGCCTTTCCCCCTAGCCCATGCCTTTCCCCCTAGCCCATGCCTTTCCCCCTAGCCCATGCCTTTCCCCCCTTGCCCATGCCTTTCCCCATTGCCCGTCCCTTTCCCCCTTTGCCCATGCCTATCCGCCTTGCCCATGCCTTTCCCCCCTTGCCCATGCCTATCCCCCTTGCCCATGCCTTTCCCCCTTGCCCATGCCTTTCCCCCTTGCCCATGCCTTTCCGCCTTGCCCATGCCTTTCCCCCATTGCTCACCTCCTCCCCTCCCCTCCCTCTTCCGTGGGCAGCTACGTTGACGGAGAGCCAATGGACGGTGTGCAGCGTTTCTTCAAGTGGATGCTGCTGCTGCAGAGGTAGAGGTAAGCAGCGGTGGAGAGGCTAGGTGCAGCGCGTGCGTGTTGCCCTTCATGACTGGTTCATGCTGTGCGGTTAAACTGCCACCACCCCTCTCTTCATACCTCAGTCCCCAGCCGTCCCATGCGCTTTGCCGTGTTTGGGCTGGGCAATCAGCAGTACAAACACTTCAACCTGGTATGCCCGTGTCATGCTCCACCGTTGGCTCGGCTGCCATGCCACCCAACACGCCGTGAAGCTGTTCAGCACCATGCTTTGCTGTCTCGTCCTTCAACGTCATTTGAGACGTCTCAAAAGATGTCTGTCTCGCATGGCTGCTCCCCCATCCATCCTCATCGCCATACGTCCGTCCACCTCCCTCTCCACTTCCGTTCCATTCCCCCTTCCTACCTGTACCACTCAGATTTCATCTTTTGCCTTCCCATCACCTCCTGTTCCAATGCTCTCTTTTCCCTGCCCATCCCCTTCGCTGTGTGTGTGTGTGTGCGCGCGCGCAGATGGGCAACATGCTTGACACGCGCCTCGCTGCTCTAGGTATGCTGCTATCCCATGATCTCCCTGCCCTCCCTGCCTTCGCTGTACACGGGAGCCCTTGGCCCGTGTGCATGTGAGCTGGTGGGCTACGTCTCATCGGCACTGATTGGCAAAAGTTCTTGGGTTTCGGCAACCAGGTGCAGGGAAGGGATGGAGGAAGGACATGGTCCGCCTTATCATTGTCACTCGCGTCCCACATCCCTCCCCTCATGTCACCCCCTTCCCCTCCACCAACCCTTCCCCTCCCCATCCCTCTTCCTCCCATGCCCTCCCTTCCCGTTCACGTGAATGGTCACACACTGCAGGCACACCGTTGCGTGTCATCCCCCCCATGCCTACAAGAATGCTCGCCTGCTCATACAACGAGGTGCTTGTGAGTTTCTCTTACTTCCGCCATCTGCCCTGCCCTATCCGCCTTGCCTGATCCGCCTTACCCCATCCGCCTTCCCCCATCCGCCTTCCCCCATCCGCCTTCCCCCATCCGCCTTCCCCATCCCGTCCTGCCCCATTCCATCTTCCCCCATCAGCCTTCCCCCACCAGCCTTCCCCAACCCGCTTTCCCCCACCTACCTGAGACCCATCCGCCTTGGCACAACTGCGTTCCCCCATCCGCTTTCCCCCATCCGCTTTCCCCCATCCGCTTTCCCCCATCCGCTTTCCTCCCATCTAAGACTCTAATTCCCCGCCAAGTTCTGTTTTGCCCTGGAGGGAAGTCGGATTTTGCCCCAAGGGGGAGTTCTGTGAAGCCCCCAGGGGTACTTCTGTTTTGTCAGAAGTAGAAATTTCTCACCTGCCCCCACGGGGGGACTCTGTTTCCCGCACCTGAAGACTTTCCCTCTCTCCTCTCCTCGTCACCACTTCGTCCCTCCTGTTTTCCCATCCCAACCGACCAGATTTTGATTTTCAACCCCAGGGCATTCTCTTTCCAACCCTAGAAAATTCTCTTTCCCTCCATGTGAGATTCTAAATCTCAGGCAAGTTCAGTTTTGCCCCAAAGGGTAATTCTGTCCTGTCCCCAGTAGAAATTCTATGTTGCCCCCAAGGGGTAATTCTGTTTCCCCCACCCTATTCCATTCCAACCCATGCTCTCCTTCCTCAGCAACCCATAGTTTGGTGCATCTCCTAATTGCTCCTCAAGCCAGCCCCTCCAGCCATTTAGTGGCCTCCATTTGCCCAGGGCAACTCCCCACACGCTAGACACTGTAGCGCCCCACCCCACCCCACCACACACCACCCCACCTCTCCTCTTGACCCCTCCCATCCTAACTCCCGGTTTCCCGTCTATTCCCAGGGCGAAGCCCTCACTACAGTACAGCACTGTCGCCTGGGATTATAGGCAGCACTCACCTGCACAGGTGCCATGCCATCGCCCTCGGCCCCTGCGAATAACAACACCGGTAACAACTCCCCTTCAAGTTGGCCGCTGCGCCAATGCCTGCATGTGTAAAACGCCCACGGTGGGAGGGGGCAATCATATCGCACCAACTTGCTGCCTTACGAGCACTGTTGTCGCTGCTTGTTTCATCGCACTCCCCACCCCTCTACCCTCTTGCGCTCATCACTCTGTTCCATCCACAACTCCCAAGTCCGTTCCCGCTCATGAGCTCTCCGCAATCATTTCTTCCATCTTGTCAAATCAAACTTGCTCTGCTTCCATCGGACTCAATAGTTTCACATAAACTTACCCATTGACATGCTCAGTGCCACCACCCCATTCTTCCACTTTATTCTCCTAACCATTATCCCCTCACCTATCTCATTCCGTGACCACACCGTACCTACTCCAAACTCACCCCGCATCTCACATCTCATTCCCCACAAATTCGGGTTCCCAACACACCCACTCTGATATCGCATGCTCTTGCCCACTCTTATTGCTCCACTACGATCCCCCCCTCCCACAATACCTGATTTCTCCAGTCCTATGCTGCCTTTTCACCCACTCCTGTGTACAGGCCCTGTTGACGGCATTGTTTCGGTGCATGCGTTCGCCTCATAGATGCTAATGGATCAACCTACCAAACTATTCCAACATTGCAACTTCCTTTGCGAATTATACGGAAGGGAGATTATATGAGAATGGTATGGATTGTGTAAGCAAACCCTAACACCGACATTGTCAAAACAAACAATCAGAGTTCAGAGTAAATATCACACATGCCGTGCCATTATTAGATGACAATGATGTTGTAAAGTTAGCAACCGCAAAAGCAGGAGGCTACGCAACCACTTGAGGTTTCTGGGAGGTCCTTCAGTTCATGTTATGCCTCAACTAATTTGGGTTGTGGACCTGTTTATAGTATGCTACCGTACGTCTTTAGGAGAAGCAACGTTTAGAGAGTGCAGACCAAAGCATCTGCTGCAAGCCGTTTGACGAAGTATGAAATATAAAGTATGAGGTGAAGATGGGGTTGGGGACAAACTTGGGAGACGGGGGCATCAGCCAAGAAACCCGGACCTGTGACATCTTTTTGTCAGAGACCAGAAGGCACGGGTGCAAGGCCTCAGAAGTCAGCGAAAAAAGGCTGATTTAGGGTCTGGACGCTGATTTCCTAGACATATGGCTGATGTGTTGGCTGATAATTCAGTTTTTTTTTTTATTGTGTTGGCTGATTCTTCAGGTTTTTTTTTTTTTAAGTATTGGCTGATTTTCCAGCGTGTTTGTCAAGAATAATATATATTTCTATATATTGTTTTGTAACTGCCTGTAGTGTAGACTACTGTAGTTATATAATGTTCTGTTTGGTGGTGCACCTTTCCTTCTTGCCTATTTGTACTCCTCGCTCTATAGTGAAACCTCTCACTTTCTTTCAAACTTTCTCGAACTCAATCTTGAAGGCTCCTGAGCTATGGCTCCTAAGCCCAACGCTCACTAGATTTCTGACATGGTATCAGAGCAGGTCGATCCCCTTGGATCGATCCTGTGGGTGGGTTACCACCTCGCTTCCGCTGCTACCTTTCCCTTCCCGCCGTGCGCCCCGAGGCGCGCGGCGGTTTTCCTTCCCGCCGTGCGCCCCGAGGCGCGCGGCGGTTTTCTTCCCGCCGTGCGCCCCGAGGCGCGCGGCGGTTTTCTGCCCGCCGTGCGCCCCGAGGCGCGCGGCGGTTCATTGCCCGCTGTGCGCCCCGAGGCGCGCGGCGGGCTTCTCCCCTACGTCGCGGCCCCGCCCCGATCGTCGCGGCCCCGCCCCTCGACGCGGCCCCGCTCTACGTCGCGGCCCCGCCCTGGCCCGTCGCCGCCCGTGCGCCTGCCCGGCTCGGCCCCGCCCTTCGTCGCGGCCCCGCCCCGGCCCGTCGCCGCCCGTGCGCCTGCCCGGCTCGGTCCCGCCCCGCTATGTCGCGGCCCCGCCCTCCAACCAGGCCCGTGGTGGGCCCCTTTCACCACACCGCCTCCCCCCCCCCCCCTTGCCATTTCCCGTCGTCCGTCGTGGCGACCTGAGGGGGCCGCAAGCTGTGGGGTGACAGGTATGGGGGTGGCCGGTGTGCCCTCCTCCCTTTGCTCCTCCTCCTCCTTCGTCTCCCACTGCTGCAGCTGTCGCTGAGGGGGGTGGTTGTGTGGGAGACTGGGGTTTAGGGTTTAAGGGGGGGTGCGTGGGAGTAGAGCTAGCGGTGTAGCAGTGGGTGTGTATCAGGGGGGTGGGACTGTTTGCGGGAGGTTGAGCGGAGGCTGCCGGCTTGTCGTCCGCAGCACCTGTAGTCCGGGGCGCTGTCCCGGTAGCCCAGTCGTAGCCAGCTGTGCCAGCCGCCCGTGGGTCCGTTGCCCGTCCGCCGCTATTTGAGCCGCGGGGCCTGTTACTCCTGTAGTCCGGGCGCTGTCCGGTAGCCGCTGTGCCAGTCTGCCTCCTGTTGCCCGTGTGTCTGCAGCTTCAGCCGTCGCCTCCTGTCTCCTCTCCCCTCACTCTCCCTCCTCCTCCTCACTTGCCCGTTGTGACTACCACTAGCTTTGCTTATAATTGTGAACTCTAAACTATTTCTTCTTGAACTTGTGCTCAGAATGTGTGGTGACATTGTGATCCACCCTGAGCTTGTTTTGCTTTGCCTGCTCTGCTGATTACACCCCACTTTGGCTATGGGGGTGTGTCAGAATATTATCTTATTGTTCTAGCCTGTAGTGGGGTGCTCTATAGCGAGTACAACCCTTCTAGGGTTTGCTATTTGTATCCTCATTCTTGCTAGTTCAATCCTCTTTTCCACAAGTGTCCGCTGATTGATCAGACTTGTAACGAGAGTGTAGGCTGAACTCACGCTATTACAGATTCGTGCTGGAGCCGTGTTTTTCGGCTGTCCAGGTACATCCACCGTCAATCACGCAAAAGTTGCCACGTACAGCACCGACGTGGCGGGAAAACGAATTTCCCCGACGAGTCGGTTGCTTCGTTGTCACCGACAGAATGCTTCAATTGATGTGATTGGTTGTTTAACCAATCACATCCCTTATGCGCCATTCACCAACCACCAGGCAGCACAGCACAGCACCTGCTAAACTTAATGAACAAAGTGCTTAAACATAGATCAGCCTGCGTTTTTTAGTGAGGCTGATTAGTCAGCGTTTTTTTAGGTGACTTGTCTGAAAAATCAGATTATTTTTTTTTAACCAACTCTGATTGATCAGCCTAGCGTAGCCTGCTAAGGCTGACGTCTCAGCCAAGCTAAAAACGAATCTGAGGCCCTGCACGGGTGGGAGAGGGGATGGGGGAAGTGGGGGGGTAAGGATGTCATTGAAGGTGTAGGTGCCACGATCTTGCAGTCGTATAGTACAAAAAGGAAGGCAACATCACTAAAAAAAAAAGACATCCTATAGGAGTGTGGCGGACCGGTCATGTAAAACAGCAAGTATATGATTGGGCCTTAAAGTACCCTAGGGTATGGGGCTGATTGGGCGCATATCGTATTGGAGACGCCAGGTTGTGCGTGTTACAATCCACCTTTACGTGTGAGACCTCTGCTTGCCAAGAGCGTTAGCGTAGGTTGGTTGGCCTTTCTCCTGTGGGCTGGTAACAGAAAGCAGAAATGCACAGATTTGGCAAACAAGCAAAAAAAGGACATAAGCGTAGGGTGGATGCGGCTGCTGAAGCATGAGCAAGAATTTAGGGACAAGCAAGTATGTCTATAACCACGAACCCAGCAAACGGCGACAGGCTTGTGAAGTTCGTTGGCCGTATGACACCGGGGCAGGCCGGGATGTGCTGCCGTGACACCCAGGCGAGAAAGTGAGCTCATTGGTAGCCAAAGGGGTGCTGCACACCGGTTGCACAGAAACAGTACTCGGCTGTCCACTCATGGTTCGTTGTCGCACCGCACAGGTGTTCTCACTAACCCTTTGATCTGTGACAACCTCATCCAGCATTCCCTCTATTGCCGTTTCAGTTTCCTCCACATCCTCCACCCCTTCCTTCAACCACTGCTGCATTATCTTGTCGATCCAGGACCAGTCCATGGGACCTAGGATCCTCTCTCCAGAACCCCGCTGCACTCGTGTCGCCTTTCTTGCACGGAGGCGGTACGCCTTGACGAGTCGGTCCATACAACTGTTCCAATGCAGCACTGCCAAGGCTATGCATGCCTTCATGCTGCCCCTGAATCACAACCTCTTGGGTGCATACTTGCAAATCAGAGAGTGAAATTACTCATTCAGTGAACTATTCGCGCCACGGATGAATGGTTCCACTTGTGTTGGCCCTAGTCGCGTCTTGAACCACTCGCGAACAGCCAGGTGGGTTGGTGAACCAACCGCATACACGGCACTCTCCTCCCCCCATCCCTCTGAAACACAGCGTGGAGGTGTGATCCCCGCTCGTTGGCAGCGTGAATGATCACCTGCAAAGTGATCTGCCGCCAGTCCTAACTCCTCTGACACCTCCTCCTTTGTCATCGCATCCCCTTCGCGCGCCTTCACTGCACACCGCATCATAACATGCCTGAAATGCACGCTGACGCGTTGTGCAACCGAATATTCCA